GAGGATAACTTCAAAAAATTTGTATGTGGAATCTTCACCAACCCAGTATGAATTCAGGACTCTCAGGGCCCCACAGTGGCGTCCAGCTCGCTCCTAAGAACAAGAAAAAAAAGGTCCGAGTCAGTGCTTCACATTTCCCATAGCAGTTAATTAAGAAGCCAGAAGTCTATATATGTTAGATTGATTTGAAGTATATCATTTCTTCTGTTACTTTCTCAACTAAGGCAATATTTATGATCATCTGGCTAAAAGGGTTTCAGATTCTGGGACCTATCTTTCTTCTTAGAGAAGGCAGAATAGGCTCTGCAGGCTACATTTGGTCTGGCTTACATGATATTGTTTTTAATTTTAAAAAGTAACCTATTATAAAAGGTAAACATCATTCTTAACATCTTTTCACTCCTCTTTTTAATCAACTTTTGGGAGCTCCCTCATATACAACACACAGGTTAATACCAAACTGACAGTATTCATATACGTTGACAGAAAATGCTCTGTACCAAGTTAAAGAGCCACAAATTACTTTCCATAAATACTCACTTAGGTACAAATAAACAATGACAAAATATGGCAAATCTTTGCCCCAGCCCCAACTCTAGGATGTAAAAAACAACTGGTCATTTCAGTCTTCTAATCACAAACAGGCTTAATGTACACAATCTGTAATTACGAAACCCCTGTAAAGCCTGCATTGCCTCATAACAGGTGCTACACTTTGACAGGCATCAAAACATTTGCGTTTTATTATGTGAGAGATGTCTTAGTGTTATCTAGGGTTTATACTTATCCATGATTCCTGTTTCCATTCCTCCTTTCCTATCCTTCTGAGTTCTGTCCTTGGGTAAATGCTGCTCTTTTTATCTCCAATAGTTGATTATTCTAAGGTGTGCATATCTCCCTTATGTTAAGTGCCTTCCAGTTGACTGTGACCCATAGCGACCCTGTGTAGGGTTTACGAGGAGCAGCTGGTGAGTTTTAATCACCGGCCTTGCTATTCAAACGGCTTTGCAGTCTGGTGCATTAACCCACAGCACCCCACCCAAAACACCATTCCCTGTATAAGACTGTCTATCATCTGTCTGAAAATAAGGCCATGGGGGTGATAGATTCTAGACCCAAAGGATGACTATAAAAAGTACACTAGTACTAAGTCAAACATTTGACTGACCTTAGATAGGAATCATATCTGCTCTAAACTTATTTCAATTTACAACACATTTAGAATGTAACGGGTTTGTAATCTGAGGACTGCATAACCTCAAAAATATAAACCACCTACCTCAGCCACAGACTGAAGGCTTCTAGCAAATTTCAGCTGGTTAACACCATGATGGACAGGCTTGCCATAGGTTGCACCTTTAGGAACTGGGCGTTTGCGGCCACCTCTGCGCACACGAATCCGATAGATGACATAACCTACACAAATAGATTAAAATACATTCGAATGCTTTTCATAGTATTCTATTTGTTATTAAATTGGCTATCATCAATCTCACAGTAAGGTCGGTTGTTTCCATTCTCACTCTACAATGTTATCCAATGACTTGCTTTTCCCAGGGAAAATAACTGTATTCAAGCATCCCGGAAAACGCAGCACGCACCTTGCTTGGCCTTGTATCCCAGCCTGCGCGCCTTATCTGGCCGGGTGGGACGGGGGGCCCTATGCAGCGCAGAGAGCTGGCGGTACTGCCAACAGCGGACCCGCAGAAGAAATCGCATCACATCGGACTGCTTCTTCCTCCATAGTTCCTGGATGTACTTGTAAGCACCCATCTCGGCTTACCCTTGAGACAAAACGATATTACACATCAGCCGTTTACATTACAAAGACTCTGTCCGTCCATCTCAGTTCCTCACCAACCACTGGGCCTGAAAATGGCTCTGCACTAACTGCAGGGAGCAACCACGCCAACTCGCACCTACGAGTAACTGGAGCACCGCGCCTGTTCACACTCGGCCTTCAGCACGGAGGAGTGATGGGGCGCATGTTTTTTTGTTTGTTTGTACGAATAAACTAAGCTTGGGACAGGTTGAGGGGCGAATATGTGGCAGGCGGCGTCCCCAGGGCCCGGCCTGAAAGGAGACCTCACCGATGCTGTAGGTGGTGTTGCTAGACCGTTCAAGAGTAATTCTCGAGGAAAAAGCAATTATCTCACCCCCAACTAACGATCTAGCTTCAAGGCGCTTCAGGGCCGCTTCCCATACTCCTAGCTCCACGCCTCCTTTTCCTTCATGTACCAGGCCCAGCTCGAATTCGCGCCGCCATCATATTTCCCCCCCCACCCGTCCCGGGGCCCGCCTTTCACGTCCGCGCTGTCCCGCACCCTGACCGAACTCGCTCCGTACAGAAGGAAAGAGGAACTCCGAGGACGCAGGGTCCTCGAACCTGGATGGCTGAGGCAAAAGATGATCAGCAACGGATAGAGAAGCGAATGCTTACAACACAGCCTACCTGATGGCTGCCGCCAGACGGAAAGGAAGAAGCTTTTCTCCCACAATCCCTTTTGGGCTCCTCCCCAAACGCAGCGACCCTTTTTCCGGTGCAAAGCCGCGACCGCCCAGAGCTTCATGGGACATGTAGTTCAGCTCTCTCGCACAGTTAGCGGAGCTCTGTCGGGATTGGGCGCAGCTTTCCCTATTGTCCCGCCTCCTATTCCGCAAGATTATAGAGCTTCAGAATCAGAGGCATCCTAAAAGGGTGCCGGTCGGTGGAGGAAGCTCAGACGGCAAGGGTCGCGGACAGTCCCTCCGCGCGGAGGAGGCAAGTTGGAGGCTGACCTCTAAAGGCCGCGGACCTCCTTGGGCCTGTGCTATCTGTGCGCCGCAGTCTTCTGGGTACGCAGAGATGTGCGGGAAGTTGATTCACTCACCGCTATCTGCTGACTAGTGGCTGAGGGTTCTCCATACAGCGCTGTCTCCCCTCTTGGGACGGCGTTGGAATCTAGGCCCGACCCGGCTGAGAGACATCGCCTCCCCTGTCTCCCCAGCCCCCAAGTAAGGCCTTCGTGGATCGGAGCCTTGCGGGTGGGTAGGATAACGCGTTGTGCCAGTTCGGGCTGAAGCCCCAGCAGACCCCGGCCCCGAGGGCTTTCGTCTTGCAGATCCTAGGGGAGAGGGAGGATGGCTAGGCGCCTTTCCAGTTCCGGGCTTCTCCAGCTTGCGGATCGGGTCCCAGATTTGGTATGTTAGAAGCACGGTTTTTTAGAAAAGCAAAATATTTATTTACGAAGACTTTTTGCCAAGTGTGAGTGTGTTGGGGAGAAATGCCTAGAGAATACTGACAAAGCCGTTAAATTCTTTATTGAAAAATAGTTTACTAACTTTTATTGAGTTTTCAGAATATTTTCTTTTTTGATGCAGACCTGTGGTTTTAATTCCCTTTCGAATTCTAGGTTTTCAAAGTGGTCAGGTTTAAAGAAACAGCTATACTTGCCTTTTAAATTATTAGCGGTTTGAGCAATTTTTTCTAACGACTTAATATTTGTTTAAGCCCTGGTGGCTCAATGCTTTAGCGTTTAGCTGCGTGGCTGCTAAGCAAAGATTGGAGGTTTATATCCACTAACCACTCTGGAGCAAAGACCCTGCCATCTGTCCCGGTAAAGATTACAGCCTAGGAAACCCTTTAGGGCAGTTATGCTGTCATGTGGAGCCCTGATGTGGAGCACAAGGCCGGTTTGAAAGCAAGGTCTGCAGTTCAAACTCAACAGCCGCTCCTGGAAAACCTTATGAGTCGAAACCGACTCGACAGCACTAAACAACAACAGTGGGGTTACTATGGGTCTCAGTCTACTGCAGGGCAAAGAATATTTTAAAATCTTTTTCTCTTTTCGTTTTTAAATTACATGGTTCAGTGATTCATTCAATACATATCAAGTGTCTAGCATGCCTAAGAAGCACTTGACTGCAAAGTGCAAACGCATCAGCCCCTCCTCTGAAGCCGTATACAAGGGTCTCTTTGAGTCGGAACCAACTCAGTGGCCCCTAATATCAGCAATGTGTCATATAGTAGATTGAGTTGGACTGTTCACCTCAAGGTCAGCAATTCAAATCCATCAGCTGTTCCTTGGAAGAAAGATAAGGCTGTTTGTTCCAGTAAAGATTTAATGGCCTTGGAAACCCTCTACAAAGTCACTATGAGTCAGAGCTGAAAACACAGCACATTATAGGTGTCTGAGGTGCACCTGACCCAAGCCATGATATTTTCAGTCACCTCATAGTCTGGTGTGGGGCTGTAGGATAAGCACTGGACCACTAAGGTCAATAGTTCAAAGTCACCAGTTGCTAAACCCTATACAGGGACACTATGAGTCAACTGTCTCGATGACATGTAACAAGATATGCATACAAAAACTGGAGAGTAAATAAGGAAGACAGAAAAATTGATGCCTTTGAATGATGGTGGTGGTGGTATTAAGTACCATTGAGTCGGTTCTGACTGATAGTGTATAGTGTTTTCAAGAGAATTTAGTGGGTTTAAACTGCTGATCTGTGGTTTGCAGTCCAGTGCTGAATATACTTTGCCACACCAGGAGTGCATGATGTTGGTGAAGAATGTTAAATAAACCATGGAGTCAGAGAACTCATTTGTCTTGGGAAAAGTATGCTCCATAGAAGCCAGGATAGCAAGGCAAGACTCTGTCTCACTTACTTTGGATTTGGTTATCAAGAGAGACTGGAAAAGGACATTATGCTTGGTTAAGCAGAGATCGGAGAAAAGAGGACCCTCATTGATACAGTGACTGCAACAATGGGCAGAAGCAGCAACGATTGTGAGGATGGCATACAACTGGGCAGCATTCTGTTCTATTAAGTATAGGGCAGCTATGAGTTGGGATCAACTTGTCAGCACATAACAAACAATGTGTGCCGGGCACTCACTGTCTTATTTAGGAAGGACGCAGCAGTGAACAAAGTTGGCAAATTCTAGCCTTCAGAATAGGCATTATGCGTCATATGTGTTGTGTTTGATCAATAATAAAGTAATTAGTGAGGGACAGGGATAGCAAGTGGTGGGGTGGAGGTAGCAACTGTAGATGGACTGGCTCATGGAAAGTCTCCTTTACCAAGATTTGAGACAGGACTTCAAGGATGTGAGCCTGCGGGGAAGAGGAAAGTGCCAAGGCTGGAGCATGACAGGAATAATTGAGGAACAACAATGAGACCGATGCTGTCAGAAGGGAGAAGGAACCCTGGTGGTGCAGCACTGGGCTCCTAACCAAAAAATGACAGTTTGAACCAACCTGCCACTCCTCAGGAGAAAAATGAGGTAGTCTGCTTCTGTAAAAATTTATAGCATTGGAAACCCCAAAGGGCAGTTCTACTTTGCCCTCTACGGTTCCTATGAGTAGGAATGGATTTGCTTGCAATGGGTTGGGTCCCTGGATGATGCAAATGGTTTGTGCCACTTTTGCAAAATTACAGCCATTGAATGAAAACCCTATGGAGTTCAGCTCTACTCTGACATACATAGAGTGGCCATGAAACAGTATCAATTTGAAGTCAGTGGGTTTATGGGTTTGCATTTTTTTGTGTTGGCTTTTTTTTTTTTTTTTTTTTTGTCGGAGAGGTGAAGATTCTCATAAGGACTTGGGTTTTTTTGTTGTTAAGTGCTTAGTCAGTTCAGACTCATAGTGACCCTATATAGAGTTTCCAAGGACTGGCTGGTGTATCTGAACCAATGACCTTGTGGTTTTCATTCTCAGTCCAGTGTTTATTTTACAGTGACACAGGACTTTTACTCTTCTTAAAATTGGAAAGCAATGGAAGATTTTGAGCAGAAGAGTGATATTGTACGATTTGCATTTTAAAGGGTTCTCTTCGCTGTTTTAAGAGGAAGAGGGAAAAGATTGGAAACAGGAGACCTGTCAGGAAGTTTCCTATTGTTGTAACAAATTGCCACACATTTACTGGCTTACACTAACACTAATTTATTCTAAAATTCTGTAGATCAGAAACTTCACTAGGTTAAAATCAAGGTGTCCGAAGGGCTACATTTCTTCTGGAGGCTCTCAAGGAGAATCCATTTCCCTGTTTTGTTGTTTTGTTTTTTTCCCCAGCATCTAGAAAACCACTTAGTTTCTTGCCAAGATCTCTTCCTTCATTTTCAAAGCCAGCATCGTAGCATCTTCACCTTTCCCTGTTTCTGACATTCCCTCCTTTCTCCTGTAAAGAATCTTGCGATAATTGTGCTCACATGAATAACCCAGGAGAAAGGATACATTCCCACCAAGATCCTAATTTTCAGAAAAGGGACAGAAATACCCTTAAGGTAATCAAATCTACAAAGTCCCTTTTACTGTGTAGGTTAACATCTTTACAAGTTTTGAGGTTTAGAATGTGGATGTCTTTGGAGAACCATTGTTCTGCCAACCACAGAAGTATAAGAGGACTTCAAAATTGTCATAGAAAACTGAAATTCAACAATGAATTTTCTCCATAAAATTTTTGAAACTCCCTTGCACTGCAGTAGCCCAGTTAGAGGAGACTCACTTCCTTAGTGAAGGAGGAGTAAATAGTGAAACCTTGGATGTGATTTTGTATGTATGTGTGTGTGTATATAAGTATTTTTAAACTTTTTTGTGAATTGAGTAGGTTTGCAGAGATCATCAGTTTTACATTCAATAAATTATACATTTTGTTTCATCTCAATGATTGCAATCTCCTCTATGTTAGCAACAGGTATCCGACCTGGATATGTTTTGAAGGTAGTGCTAACAGGATTTACTTACTGATGGATCAAATGCTGGGTGTTAAGAGAAATGAATTAACAATGACTGAC